ACACACACACACACACACACACACACACACACACACACACACACACACACACACCCCCTCAGTGGAAACAAATACTTCGTGTTATTTATAGAAACTAATGAAGATGGAAAACTCCCTCTGCTCACATATTTGAGAATTGTTGACCTTCACATTGCGGTTGAATTGTTGGCTCAGTTCAATTAATGATGGTGGAAACTCAAAGGTGGAACGTTTTTTTTTCTTCTTTGAAATAATTGAGATTGGCGGCCCGGTGGTCCAGTGTTTAGCCCATCAACCTCACAGTGCAGAGGTACCAGGTTCGTTTCTAGCTCTGGCTTTCCTATGTGGAGTTTGCATGTTCTCACTGGGCCTGTGTGGGTTTTCTCCGGGTACTCAGGTTTCCTCCCACATTCCAAAAACATGCATGGCAGGCTGATTGAACACTCTTAAATTTTTAGTCCACAGATGTTAGTGTGAGCGCGGATGGTTGTTCGTCTCTGTGTGCCCTGCGATTGGCTGGCAACTGGTTGAGGGTGTCCCCCGCCAACTGCCCGCAGACAGCTGGGATAGGCTCCAGCACGCCCCCTCGACCCTTGTGAGGATAAAGCGGATCAGGAAAATGGATGGATGGAGAAATGAGATTGAAATAATGTGTTTCAAGGTCGAACTATTCTATATTCCATACACCTATCGCTTTATACCGTATATATTTTTCTTCTCTTAGCAAGCCTTGTTGAGGCTGTTCCCTTTTTTTGTTGTCACAAAAATACCAAAGAAAAAGTAAAAAGCAAGACTTAAAATTTTCAATTCCAGGTTTCCAAAAATTAGCTGAAATTCACAGGCGATGAGTATTATTAATTCTTATCGCCTCCTCACCCTTTTTCTCCCCCAACTTACCCCCATTCCCTCCCCTCACCCAACACAGACAGCAGAGAGGAGGCGGTCCTGGGCAGCATTCCTCTTCCCAGCTATGTCATTTCACCCGTGGGACCCGAGGACCACGTCAGCCGCAAGTATGCCTTCAAGGTACGTTGGCCTCTTCTGTCATTTAGCCGTGTTACCTTCTGCACAATCCATCAAACTTCGTCTTCCTCTTCTAATTTAAAAAATAAGCTTGAGAGACTTTATTTTTATTATTATTATTAAGTAACTATCAGCAAGGGAATTGATTGTGTTGCGGTGAAAACGATTCGTCGAAAGTCAACTGCAGCTGGCATGGTAGGAGCAATTTCATTTGCAATCTCGTTTTTTGGTGGGTCTATGATTTTGACATCATGATCTTTTAAAAATATTTTTGCCCGAAATATTATTATAGAGGACCATTGAGCCTTTGGCGTAAAACTCAAATCAACTCAAGCAACTTGATTTTAACGAATATAATTTTAAAAAGCAACTGCAGCTCAAACAAATGTTTGTACGTAAATAAAATCGGCCATAAAACAATTCTAAAAAGTTGAATTATTAGCAATAACAAAGCAGTGACACACACAAACACACATGGGCATGCTCACGCAGGAGCTGCTGTCAGCCACAGCTCACACCCAGACACTCGAATGTAAACCTTTCAATGTCACATGGCACCCCAGCAGGCCCCGCCTCTTAAAGGCACTTTTAAGTTGTTGGTGCTGCGCCGTGGAAAGGAATACATTCACAGTTTGCCGCAGTAGCTGTACAAATGGTGCAAAAGGAATCGATGTCCCGGTTTCACAGTGTATTTCAGTTTTACCCGTGAACCGTTTGATGACAATACCAAACAAGACGCTTAAGTAAATACACAGGCCGCTGCGATATTTCTTAAATATAGTCACTCAATTATGATATCGCCCTCCCATAATTGTCATGCCTTTCTGGATCAACATGGCCCATCTGTTCATGTGAGATGTGTTTTTACTACTGTCAAGGGGCAAAGCCCTCCGGCATGATTTGTCACTGAGCACCTGCTGTAGTGAAATTTGCTACGGCTGTCAAGAGGGAAGTTTTAATACAGACACCTCTGTGGAATGGATTTCCCTTTGGCACAATTCCGTAACTGGATTCAACACACGAGGGATGCAACGACATGAGGCGCTCACTCGTATTTTGTCGGGGGGGGGGCCTAAATTAGTTTTTTTTTCAAACTGACAGATGGTCAGATTTGAATTTTTTTATGACATTTTTTTTCCCAGCATATTTTTGCAAGAACCCTGCTGTTATGTTTGTTTCGTTGTCACAGCAAAAATGTCGATGCACTTTTGAGCAATTTGTTTTGCAAATAATTCCTGATTCTTTATTTTCTTTTGTTTCTGTGACCACAACATTGGAAAATACAAATAAAACCTGAACTACAATCAAACTTTTTCGAATGAAGCTTGTAGCTATCCACACGGCCGGAGTTCGTTTTCTTCCAGTGAAACATTCTTTCCCCCCGCCCCCAAGTGTAATTGTATTGAACTTTCAAGTACAATACATTTGCATTTAAGCCTAAATTATTTTGAGGGGAAAAAAAGTATAAACGTATATTTGAGATAAATGAATAAATACATTTGGTAAAAAAATAAATTAAAATATTGCAAGTATTTGGACACAGTTGTTGATGCTACCCTGAAGTCATATTTGAATGTTTGAATGCGCGATTGTCGGCATGCCGTGTCGGAGCTGTTTGCGGCCATGCTGGATCGCGTTTGGGATTCTACGCCTCTGGCTATAAATAAAACCTGTCTGGCTTATTTTGGGAAGTGGCGCTGAAGGGAAAGCATGCACACCCGCGACTGGAGGAATCCCAAACAGCCACGCTCATTTGAAGACCTTCTCATGGTGTCATTAATATTTAATGCCGTAATTTGTAATTAGAGAGTTAGAGTGGAAGTTCTGTTCAAAAGTGATTGATTGATGGAGGATGAGGGATTTATCACCCTCCCTAATTAAAACATCAAACTGTCAGCTCTCGTGATTACTAACTTTAATACTGCAGGTGATATTCATCTTTTAACTGGTATTATAGTCTATGTGGCGGTAGGGTAATAAATCGGTCACACATCACCCCCCTTTTTTTTTTTTTTAACAAGACTTACCACTCATACCATTCAATACGTCATTATTAGAAGATAACCGGAGAGTTTCAAAAATATATGGACAAAAAAAAATGACTGCTTCTATTCACTTTAAACGTATTGAACTTATTAAAAGCATTTTTCAACTCACTGAAAGACACCTTTTCAAGAATCCTTAACACCTGTTCTCGCTCTCTCTCTGCCAATAAATCATAAATCATACAATATCGCTTTGAGCAAGCAAAAAGAATGTCTTGCTTAAACAGTTCTCCAAATAAGATACACAACGTGCTTGATATTTGTCACCTCCAAATGAGGTTTATTGTTCAAAATGTTTCAAATCATTCTACTTTTTCAGGGGTGTCACGATGCTCTTAACAGCTTAAACCAAGCTCACCTGATTCAAAAGTAATGATACTGTGTCTCTTTCCCCCACTAGCCCACACCCTTATTTATTTATTTGTTTGTTTGCTTATTTATTTATTTAAAGGGCCTGTTGAAACTAAATCCGATCCATCCAATGCCCAAGAAATACATTGTTACCTTGACTGACAAGCTACAGGCTATCTCTTGCTTGGTTTTGACAATAATATTTTACTTTGAGTGCTCTCATTTTTTTTTTTTTTTAGTTTTAAAATTGTCATTATTATTAACCATAATTTCTAATCTGCCTTCTGGAGCTGTTTGTGCTCAATCAGCATGGTGTCATCATCATGGCTTCGATGAGTAATTTATTTATTTATCTATTTATTTATTTAACAACAAAAACAAAGTTGCGCATTTGAACTGTAAAGCTAGTATGAAATGCAAAACCGAATGAAAGTAGCGTCAATATTATGGTAGTTATAAACATTTGATATTCGAACACACATTGTGCAGCAACACATATAAACAGAAAATGTAACACTGTCACATTCTTTATCCTCTGGAAAACAAAACAAAAAAAAAACCAAAGCAACGCAACTTAGTTCCAATGGTCATCTTCATCTTACCTTATCAAATCTAATTAAATGTATGTATGATGCTGACCCCATGGTGGTCAAAACGCACACACCAGAAGGAGCAACACAATGTTCATTCCATGAATCGAAAAAATTATATAAACACCGTTTAGTTCTTTACATTTTATTTGTCATTACGATTTAATTCTGAGATTTAAACACTAGAATGAAAGAAAAAAAAAAACAAACACAAAAAAACACATGACAATATCTCCGTCAAGGTACCACTGTTTACCAACAGGTTTGTCGATCAGGGCTGAGAAATCGGTGTATGAAGAGTGTGACAATTAAACCTCCACCCTCCACCTCCTCTTCCCTCTCTTTCCATTGGTTGGCTGCCCGACCGGGACACACCTCCCACACACCCCTGCGAGTGTGTCACATTGAGAGTCCTCACATAAAATAGGTACTCTCTCCCCTTTGTCGGATGTGGAGCTACACCGTACGTGACAAAATGTCACTTGTCTCGATGCATGATGGTGATCAACTTGTCGTTGTGCCACTTTGCTGTTTGCTTTTTCCTTCCCTTGTACTTTTATGTTTGTGGGTCTTCGTGGGGCTTCTTGTTCAAGTCACATCAACCTTCAAGGCTCGAAATAACGTTTTTCTCAGGCGAATCAATGACTTCATTTGAGGAGCAACTGTCTAAGGAGCAATTTTTTGCAGATTAACCCTTAGGGACCTGCGACCCTATTGAGGATATATCCTCCTCCTGGCTGACGTAGGCCGTAATGGAACGTAATTCATTTCCGATTCTTTCTTGCGCTATTGAGTACAGTATATTTTTCTCTCTAGGGTGCAGACACATATTTATTTGCCGGCTGTTTTGCTGTTCAGAATTGGATATGCCCCACTTGAACACGTGTCCGTGATCACCCAAGTGCTTCATTGTGGTTTAAAAGCATGAGCCATGTCAACCTTAGGTTAGCTTAGCCATTAGCATGGCTTCTCTATCTTGCCTTGTTATCCCTTCAAGGGAGCAGTATGATTCTTTGCCATGGAAGCGATGATTACTGACTCCAAAATGCATTTAGCCTCACTTGCCACCCAGCTGAAGCTCTTTTCTTGCTAGCTAGTCTCGACCTCCGACTGTCCATACGTTGGTGACGTGTGTGCTTTGCTCCATTGTAATGTGTGTACATCCAGACCAGCGAAGCTTTTTGGGACCGTCTTTTCCGTTCTACTATTGGAAAAACTGAAAAATCTGCCATTTTTAGTTTTGCTATTCAATGTGTTTTGATGAGGCGCAAAATGCACATTTCGACTTGCGAACTGTGAAACCTGTTATTTCGAGCCTTGACCTTCTGCATGCATCCACTAATGCAGTGGTCCACCAACCCTATTTCGTCCTGGCACAGCTTCATGGTAGTCCATATTTTTCGTTTTGGATGGGGGTGCTGACATAGACAGTGGAACTCCGTGATGTGCGGAAATAAATTATACCCCCTCACCCCTAACCCACACACACACACACACACAAATCTTGAAAATACGAGTTTCCACGAAAAATGGTTGTAAGCTAAGTAGTTTTATAAAAATAGTAAAATCTAAAGTAGCTCTCTCTCTCTCTCTCTCTCTCTCTCTTTTTATATATATATGTGTATATACAGTATATATATATGTATCTGTGATTTTTTTTTCCAACATAGTCCACCTTTATGGAAAAAATACTGGAGAATGTCTTTGAAGTGTGTTATATTCCTCCTAACCTGATTTTTGCCTCTTTATAACTAGACTATTTTATCCCATTAAAGTAGCAGACTTGAAAGAGAGTCCCCCAGAGGCTATCATTGTCTCCGTTTGGATGCTGTTCCCCCCCCTCCACGTTAAAATCAATCCCCAGTTTGAGAGAATGCACGTTTATCAGGAGTAGCTGTGCGGCGCTCAGGCTTATCTTTACGAGCACAATGTTCTCTTTAAATAGCGTGAGGACACGTGAGAATGATGTTTGCGTGGAAAAGGACGGGAAGGAAGCCATGAATGGAAAGTAAAGCAAGGAGAGTGAAAGGAAGCCAGGCGGGACGGCTATTAGCTGCGTAAAGAGCGTGACATCATCCAATGGGGCGCTAAACAATATAATGGAGGGCTTTTTTTTTCCTTGTTTTTTTTTTTTTTTTTTTTTTTTTTTTATTAAATTACATTTTTTGGTTAAAGTCCGCCATTTTATCTTGTAAACCCAACACAAGGGTGCCAAAAAGTTGAGTCTTTCACAACTTTTGACGATGTATCTACGTAAGAAAACCTTCGTGCTTTGAAAGAGTAGCGAGAGCTTGATGGCCTTTATTTTTGTTGCTTAAAAAAGAAACACACATAACAACGTTAAAAACTGAATCAAAATGCATTTCTGCCACATTTGCTCAACATGCACAAAATATATCAACTCCAATTCGGGCCTCAAAAAATGGAAGAATACATGACAAAGATGTGATTGGCTGAATCGGATCAGCAGGTGTTTTATGCCGTGATGTTGTGATGTCATAATTTGCTGATCGATCACTGATCTCATTGACATGATGCACAAAATAGAACATTAAAGGCAACACAATCTCGTTCACTCCAGGCATGTTCTGTGCTGCCATAGTTAATGTTTCTCAGCAGATTCAACATTTTCCATTTTTTTCTCCAATATTACAAAATTTTTTTCCGAGGGTTTTTTCCCCCCCTTTTTGAGGAGGTGCCTGTTTTCCCTCTGATGCGTAATGGATGTGTGGAAAGTTCCTGCCGCATCTTCCCTGTGATTGCTCTTCGTCTTTCATGTCCACTTGGGGGGGTTTGAGCAGTGAATTTGTGTGCCAGCAAGGTGGAGAGGGGCGACTGTGGGTGGAGCCAGCCAATGCTGGACAGGTTGAAAGTGAGGCATACAGTTTGTGGAACGGATGCAGTCTGGCCTGAACATGAACCCTGGTTGCTGTCTTGTGTGTCTCTCCAGCTTTGTCGAGCTCAACCAACTCCAAGGGAAAGAAAACCTGGATTTTGTTTTTTTCTTCAGATAAACAATCTCCCTCGCAGGCGTTCTTCTTCCGCAATAGCCACATTTTTTTTATTTTTTTTTTACTCCAATGGACGAGAAAACTAATAGCCACCCCGTACTTTCCCGCGGTTATTACTTTAGCACTAACCACCCACGCAGACACTAAAAGCACTCTCGGAAGCTCTCTTGGGTGTTGTTCAGGGACACTCATTCAGGGACATTGAGGGGGGAAAATAGCCACTGTGGAAAAAAATGCATCCATTGATTTTTTTTACGGCCTGTGTCTCAATACTTTTGTGCGAGTGATGTGTTTGTGTTAATTTTTTCCTCACATTGTTCTCGGGACAACTGTTAGAATCATGATGAAAAATATATTTGAAAAGATACATTTATAAAAGATGAAAGGCTCTTAGCTGGCTAAATCCAGCGCTTTAATTATAAATGAATCAGACACAGACTCCATCGAGGATAATGTTTTTTTAAATTTAGTTTTCTAACTTATTTTGTTTTTGTGCGAGTGGCCAGAAACATTTGTGAGGTTCCTTGTTGTGTTCCCTCCCTCTTGTCACGCACGCACACACCGACATACAAAGATACCAATCCAGATAGACCTGCAATTACAAAAAACAAAGACACACACAGAGACGGACGCCGACACACAAGCACAAAAGTGCAGGGTTTTAAACTAGGCTTAGGTTTTCAAAGTAGGGTTTTAACTAGACTTAGTATTTCAAAGTAGGGTTTCAAACCAGGGTTAGGCTTTCAAAGTAGGGTTTTTACTCAGATGCAGACACACGGGCTTAAACACAGACACATACACGCAAAACAGACAAGTGCAAAAACAGCCTCATGGGTAAACTTTGGGGGGTGGGGGGGACAGTTGGGGTTTTATGTTGTGTTCCTTCTCTCATCGGTCGAAAGCTGCGTCTTTGATGGTCGTGACTGGCTG